TAACTCATTTGCAGGTTTACAGACTTGTTCACTTATTACTTGCTTTGCTTTGCTTAAATGTTCTCTTCAACCTTTGAACGTCAGGCCAAGTCTTCTGGCAAGTTCTCTGACGAGGAACTCCAGACCCTTCAGAGAGAATTCAAGCACCACAAAGACAGAATCAATGAGTATAACATTGTCATGGACACTGTCAGCAGGACTGAAGGTAAGAGTTTGGTCGTGTTTAGTGCCAAGATATCTCATCATAGGATTTAGGATCTCTAATTGTAAGTGGAATATCCAAAATCTTTAAATTTGACATGAAAAAAGGGAGTTGCGATAGTCTTTTCTTCTCTGTTGTGACTTATATCTGAGTGAAACGGCTTTTTGAACAAGAAAAAATGTAGGGTGGGACTTGATCAAGTCCATTGTGAATTGATCATTAGATGGTTGTGGTTTGCTATTCCTGTGTCGTCATGTGAGTGACATTACAGGTTGTCCCACCCTCATCATCAGGGAAGAGAAATATGTCGTTGTAAGAGGGAGGGGAAGTTATTTTTAATAAAGATTACGAGGCAACATGAATAAAAAAAAATTATGTACACAGATAAACCATTTATAATAAATACTGCAATATGTCACTTTTAATTTCATGGTGACTTTAAAAGGCTAAAGTGAGGCAGGATCATTTTTTAAATAGATCTAAATTTTGATGAACATATTTCTTTGAGACTTTCCAAATCTTTCAGGTTGTCTTTTTCTATATCCCTTGTCCTAACCAAGGGTTTGTTTCCTATACAGCATTGTAACTCCCTGCTTTAACCACTGTAGTACGATGTATTGTTGGAGAAATGAACTAGCTAGTCACAACCATAGTAACATGGCACCTAGTCTCAGCCTCAGACGTCACGCCCACGGAACGTTGGCTAAACGTCTGATGCATATGGTACACTTAACTGGAAACACTTCAGGAATGTCGAAGTCGTCATCTGATTGGTTGAATTTTATCGGATTTCCGGGGGGCGCGAGTGTCGCATTTATTTTCGGTCCGCCGGGAAACAAAGCGCAGACGTGTGATTGCGGAAGAAAAACTGTTGTGTTTACATGAGTGACAATGAGCATTTATCAAGATCAGCTAAACGTAGGATTCTCAAAAGTATGCGAGGTTCACGGCATAGACTCTTGAAGTTGTTTTCTCCTTCTTTGATTTTCTATGCCGACTGACTTGTTGCACGCTGGTCTGTTGTTGTGGGGACATTTCCACACCCCGAAACGTGACGCTGAACGAAACGATCTGTAATTGGTTGTTTTACATGTCGGTCAAACGGCCTTATGGGCGGGCCTTGGCCAAAGAAAGCTGCTATGAATTCCAGACCTTCAGCCGTCAGTCTGAAGGTCTGGCTACGCGAGACTACATGGCACCTGTCTTTTGAACCATGTTGATTTAACAATAAAGAACTGTCGTTATTGACGGTAGGAGGTGGAGAAATATATTCTGCAAATTATTATTATTGTAGTTCACTTGCACATTTTACAGAAAGCCGTTCATTTTAAATCATGATACATGCGGTATGTAACTGACATACACTAATTCACTATTTTTGTTCCTCAATGTTTTGTCTTAATTTGATGTTTGATTCATTGTGGATTTCCTCTTACATTATACTTTGAGGTTCCTTTACACATTTATGCACATGTGCAATTTTGACACGTTTAAATATATTTAGAATGAAATGTATGTATATTTAAATACAATGAAAGATAAAAAAAAAAATGTACTTCATGTTAGCTTGCTTATTGTGCCCAAAAGCACAATCTGTTTAAGTGTGCATGTCAAACTAACAAGAAACTATGCTTCTAATCACAGGTCAAGAGCTGTAGTTCCAACCACACAAATTTGCTATGCTTGTTATAGTTAATAACACTGAATCGTTTAACTGTGTAAGTAATGACGGAACTTGCGACCATGTTTGGTTAACACTGCTTTTGGGAAACGCACCCCATTTAGTTTAATAATAGGACTGTTTAAATTTGAACCTCTTGTGCAGATACTCAGAATTTTCATCTTCAAATTTCTGTTCTTTCCATCAGAGATCCATAAGAATGTGATAAGTCCTCTGGAGGGCGAAGTGAAGGAACATGTTCTCCATCAGAAACATGCAGATCTGAAGCAGAGAATGAGGGACCTTAACCAGGGCTTTGAACGACTCCGCAAGATCACCCATGAGGGTTACAGTGATGACAGCGGTGGCTACCTTTGCTAAGATGGAATCTGTTTCTCATTAATAAATTGCTTCATGACTTTCTGATGCTCTCTCTTATCTTTGCATATGGCAGAATTTAAGGAGCCAAGAGTCATAGAACTTTGGGAAATGGCAAAACGATCTAATCTGAGTGAAGACGAACTTGATTCTCTTAAAGTAAGCTTATGTCATTGACTGAATATCTTTTAGATTATTACTGCACAGCTAATGTTACTGATAAATATTGCATTTCAGTTTAGTTTTAATATGCTTGGCCTTGCAAACTCAAGCTTTTGGCTTAATCTGCTTATCTCATTTAGGAGGAACTTAAACACTTTGAAACAAAGGTGGAGAAGCACCAGCACTATCAGGAGCAGCTGGAACTGTCCCATCAGAAACTGAAGCATGTGGAAGCCGTGGGAGACGAAGAACATATCATGAGAAATAAAGAGAAATACAACACTCTTGCTGAGAAAGCTCGAGAAATGGGATACAAGGTAGAGCTGCAAACTGGGTTTTAGAATAACTCACATTTTTTGGTGATTGTCCTATGTGGCTTTTTCATACAAATTTTTTTTTTTTTTTTTTTTTACATAGTCATGAAGAAAATGTGTTGTGCAAAAAAATTTTTTTTATCAGTTTAAAATCTGTACTAATGCGATCACGCTTCTCTTTTTTTCTTTAGATGAAGAAACACTTGCAGGATTTGACTAATAAGATTTCTCAAAATGGATTGCAACACAATGAACTCTGAGCACTTCTGTTAGCTACAATTATTCATAGGTCACATATCACATATGCTGGGGTTATAAAGGTAGGGCATAATGTACACGAATTTAACATTTCCATTGCGAAGCTAGACTATTTGGTAAATTCTGATTTTATTTGTATGCTACTGTGAGTAGTGATCAGTTCTGCTTTTGTTGCTCATTTCCCATTTAATGTTTTTACAGCAAATGACTACAAGGTGATTTATCCAGCAAGCTTATGTATGTTATACACTCTATTGTGGAAAAATTAGTTTGTGACTCAATTTGTTTAATAATAGTTGCTTGAGGACAGCAAACACGCACGGAAACACGTGTAACATCCCACAAACGTGGGTGCAAAAGAATTTAACATTCCTCTACAACATATGCGCGTGGCATAAAGCTTTCACACATGAAAAAGCTCTCAAAGTTTTCAATATAAACTTTTTAAGCATTCATTTTAATAATTCTCAGTTTTTTTATACCCCAGTCCTGAGCATCCTAAGATTTAAAGGTTGTGAAATAAAACCCCTTAATGAACAACGGTGCACAGGCTTGCTTTAATATTACTTCTATTAACAGCTAAACTTTATCAGGAAAAAAAGTGGGCTTCAGTGGAGAAAGAGAAGCCGAGCTCACGCACTACATTAATTATATTTGACAAGGCAGACCTTGAGTCAACCATAATATTGACTGAATCACTAAATAGCAATGGGTACAGGGTACATTTCTATGATTGACAGTGTTGTCCCAAGGTAGACTTGAATCAACATCCTCATGGTTTAAACCGTTCCATCAGGTAGACACAGTCATAAAATTGAGATTTGTCATAAAAATTCTAATATAAAATCCACACGTATTCTTTAATCTATGGCACTGTTATTACTAATCTAACAAGTTTATGATTTAAAATCTTCCTATTCATACAAATCCTATAATCCAGCATTGTAATGAACTGTCAGGAATGTGATCTCCGTAAATAATAGGATCGCTTTTGTACAAGTCCACGTTTCATGTTGCACATTTCATAATAAAACAAACTGCCTGAGCCTTGTGTTTTCTATGACAAATTGAAATGGGTGAAATGCTGAGCTGCCATTGAGTGATTGTGATATTGCATCAAGCATTTAAATGATGAGCATCTTTAGTCACTGTTATATCATTTTTATCATAGTACTGCTAGTCGATATAGAAATTTCAGAAAATAATATTTGAAAAAAAAAAAAAAATACAGTATTTTCTCATGAAATATGTCAATGTACAGAACAGAATTGGTCACCAAAGTATATATTTACAGTTGTCAACAGTCAAAGTTGTTGCATGCTCTGTTTTCAGATTTATAACTTTTCTAATTCCATGCCAATCTTAAACATGGAAAATAATACACATCCACAAACTTGTACATAAAATACAATGCAGAAATACATTTAGCATATAAAGCAGTGGTTCTCAACCAAAAGCCCACCGAAATCCAACACAATTATGAACCTTTTTTTTTTTTAAACAACAACTGAGTCAAAACATTGATCCAGAAGTTTAATGAGCTCCGTTCTTCAATAAAAACAATATTTAGATTTTTTTTTAAACAATTTATTTGCCCGGTTTCACAGACGAGCTGTTTTAAATGAAAGCAACTTGCACTGACATCTGAAAATATGTCGGGGGCATTATTTTGTCTCAAGATCCACATCAGTAATGTTTTTTTTTCTAAGGCACATTTATAAAAGCTACTTAAATTTCCTAATTTAACTAATTAAGTTCAATATATTTAAATCATACTGAGCTCTAGACCTCAGGTTGAGAATCACTGATAAACAGCAGAGTCTAAACATCTGAGAGACCACAATTAAAAATTATTCTATTTTTCAATTCTCTAACTTAACATATTTATTCACCATTACAATGTGAGAGAAACGTTAAATTGAAAAATACATATACATTTCAGATTTTCTTAATGTCTCTTGGTTACTTTAATAATGACTACGACATTTGAGCTGCACAAACTCCCAAAGTTTGTGTAAAACCACGTTTTTGTGCTTCAGTGGATGCAAGAAATTTAAAAAGTTAATTTCACAGATTTGCTCACAATTGTGACAACACTATTTCCAGTTTTAACTGAAGAAGAAAAAGATTCAGGGTGGTCTCAGGCATTTAAACTCCACTTTGATTACATGTTCAGGTGAGCGTTCCTCTCCTTTTCTGTTCTAGTTCCTGTAGTCTCTCCTCTCGGCCCTGTGCATGCTGGGCTCCCACCCTCTGTGCTGTCTCAGTAGCAGTGATGTCAATGTGGGCGTATTTAGTGCTGGAGCCGGCCACTGCTCACAAACGCAATAAAAAAGGATTTATTAACAACTTTTTAAATGTGCAAGATTCTGTTATCTGTGGCCAGTTGCATAAACTTAGCCTTTATATTACAACTTTCTTAAAGTACCCCTGCTCATCTTTGATCACCAAAATAGTATATTAAAATGTTTTTTTCTGTGGGAAAAAAATTCTTCATGCCTTAAAATAGCTCCAATGCAACTTTACACCATTGCTTAATTTAGTATACACGGATCCAAGAATATGCAAATGAGCCCTGCCTCCACTCACTCTAATAGGCTTGTCTAATACTCGATGTATCAGAATGGTAATGCGTTTAATGTATAGTTCTCTGGTAATTAATATGATTAGCCTTTTGTTTGACTACGTTATCAAACAGCTAATAGTGTGTTGCTAATGTTACACAAACCATGTTCCCGTTCGCCATCTCAGAGTCAGACCGCTGCCTTCTAACAATCAGTCTCCTTACAAACGCTTTGAACAACTCTATATGAAAGGCATATAGTTCATCATAATATTGTAATATATACATCATATACATAATTCACCATCTATATTGCTAAATGTACCCGGTTTTTCATATCAACAGAAAAATATACTGGGTTAACGTGGGTTCTCTTGAGACTCCACTGCTTCTCAGCAGTTAATGATATGCTAAAGCCCGCCTTGTTGACGTGATTGGTTACAAGGTAGTTTGTGACGCAAGAAACACCGGCGTTAGCCAAGGATAATCAGTCTTTTTTTCAAATTCAAATTAGACCAAGTCTAAGTTTTTTATGTAACCGACTTTTTTGTTAAGGCCTGTTCACACCGGGACGAATTTCGCGCGCGATATTCGCCGACGTTTAACGCCCTGTGACTAAACAAAGGGCGCCAATGTGAGTGTGCACACCGCCGCGAAAAACGCCACGCGTAAAAGCGGCATTTTTTTAAAAACGCCTCAGATTCGTTTTTTTGGTTTGACGCGCCGCGTCAAAAACTATCCGACCAATGAGATTGGCACTTTTGCTCACGTGTCTGGAGCTTCTGAAGTTACAGTAAAACACAACTTGGGGGCGCTCAAACACAAAACGGTCTTGCTGAGCACACATACGTAATGGCGAAGAAGATGCGCCAAGTGGCGTCTACACCATAGATATCCATAATGAAGGCTAGATGTCTCGTCCGCGCTGCTGGCCAAATATGGCCTTTATTATGGATATCTATGGTCTACACTGCCGGGAAGAAATAAGACGAGGAAGATGCGAGGCAAGATGAATGTAGAGCTGCTGGTCTCGTTGGTGTCGGAACATAAAGACCTATATTACAAACGCGACAGCGACTACAAAATAGGACTATTTCTGTTTTACATTAAGCGCCATCTAATGTCAGGGAATGAATTTGCATGTTCACTCGGCTCATCGTCAGCGAAAATCGCTTGGGTGTGAACACAAAAAACCAAGCGTGCCGCACAAGCCCTCAAAAGTGAAGCCAAAACGTCTCGATCGCCCCCCGGTGACCGGTCCTAGTATAGCTCATAAGCCCCGCCTCCCCATGTTATTCAACGGGACGTGAGACCAACAAAATAATTAAATTACACTTCACATATCTTTTTTCTAAAGATAGTTTCTGTCATTTACTGTAGTTTCTATCACGTTGATGTAATTTCAAGTGTTTGTTTTTAAAATAAGTTAGTTTTTAGTTAGTTATTTGATGCTATAAAAACGGTGCTGTGACATCATGATTGACAGCTGTGATTGACAGGTTCTCTGTGCGAAGTAGTAACTGAAGCACAGACTTTTTTTCATAATGTTGATTATGTGGTTAGTAGTTGTATTTACCTTATTTTAACGAGGTACTGCAATCAGCAGACATCATTGGCGAGGAACGGAGCAGACAAGGCCACTTAAGAAAAGTGCGGGGCGTGTGCTTACGATTGATTCAACGAGCGTGAGGGCGGGGCCTTGATTTCGCGGCTTTACTTCCTGCTCACGACTGCGCCTGACTGGTCCCGAAAACGCTACTGCGCAGACTCAAGTTCCAATATGTCTGCGCCATATCGGGACTCTGGCGGCTTCAGTTCTCTCCAATGGAAAAGAGCGAAGGGGCGTCGTCCATCTTTTTTTACAGTCTATGCAAAAAACGCGTTGAAAAACGCTGACGAATAACACGCGCCGATATTCGTCCCGATGTGTACGGGGCTTTAGATGACTAATTTGTAAGTTCTTAGCATTTTATGCAACCAGCCACTGCTTAACATTTAAAAATAAATCTCAACACAGCTGGATAGTCATTTGTTTTCACACCCAATTTATACAATTGTCCAAAAGTTTGGGGTCAGTACGATTTTTTTGTGTGACAAAAATAAAAATAAATATTCAGAAAGTATGCATTAAATTAAAGTGATAGTAAAGACATGACGTATGATGTTACAAAACATTTCTATTTCAAATAAATGCTGTTTGATGAATCCTGAAAAAAAAATGATTACAGTTTCCACAAAAAATATTAACAATTGTTTCCACATTTGATAATAATAATTAAAAAGATGTCACTTAAGCTCCAAATCAGCATATTAGAATGATCTTAGAAGGATCATGTGGCACTGAAGAAAATTCAGCTTTATCATCACAGGAATAATTACATTTTTACATATATTAAAATGCAGATAAACAGATAACAATTATTTTAAATTGTAATAATATTTCACAATATTACAGTTTTCACTTTACTTTCAAATAAATATAGCCTTTGAGAATAAGAAACTTATTTTGAAAACATAAAAAAATAATCTTACAAGCCCTAAACTTTTGAACAGTAGAATGTATATTGTAAAGGTAAAAAAAAAAAAAAAAAAAAAAAGAGTACTAGGTTGGAAGGCATGTAATTGAAGGATCAAAAATGAGTAGTAAATATGGAAGGAACACAGTGTACCTCTGATAGTGTGGCTTGACTCTGGACGGTCCTGCAGATCCAACTCCATATAGTGTAGCTGTCGTTTAGACGTTGGACTAATGGGGATATTCACATAGTTAATGGAATCACCTTGAAGTTTGTCAATAACTGTCAGTCCTGTCTGTCCTGTAAGACAAGACACAACATGCACAGTTACCAATGAAATCGAGCAAATGAAATGCTGTGATCAGGTTGTGATATATAATAAGGGGCATCTCAATTACCATACTCTCCGGCTCTGAACTGTGGCCACCTGGATGCATCAGTCATGAATGCCATCTGCTCATAATTGCCTTTTGGATCTGCTGTGCAAGACAAAACCCCAAGAATAAATCACAAGTAAGCCATTCATTCAAAATCACAATACACTCAGATGTATGCTCCAAATCATTAAATTGTTAATGTAATCAGCTGAAAACAATCTGACATGGCATATTACACACACAAACATTAGATATCCAGTGACAACAAAGCATCGCAATTTCTCCTCATGGCTATTATGTTAGCAACATGTCGATGCTGAGACTAGAATCGCTTTATCAGTCGATACAGACAACAAAGTCTGCTTAAACTTAGGGATGAAAGAGGAATTACTGATGCAATTCCTGTTGAAATGACATCCAAGTATTGTTTACCTGATTAAAGGTGCATTGCGCAAGTCTCTGAGTTTTTGCAGAACCATGCCCCCTCTGGCGACAAGCGAAACTGCAACCCGAGGTGTGCACGCTCATGGACCACACGCATACGCACGCTTGCACGAGCTGTTCATAACCAAAGGAGCATCAGCTGCACAAATCTTTTGTTTACAGTCATAATGTCTTCAGAGGTAATAAAGGTATAAATCTGCAAGTCATTTTAAATATATGAAAGGAAAGGCATTTGAGTAAATTATACACTTATGTGTGAGGGGAAAACGGGGGTAGTAGAAACCTTCGGTTTTTGTTTCCATCTATCTCCATGTTGAACTGTTTTATGTGTTTACTGTATCCACTTATGATTGTATTATTATGGAACACATTCATAAACAATATAAGTTATTACTTTGTAAAAGCCAACTGAGGATCCCGTTTGAGCCCTAGAGCAGACCGGAGATCTCTCCATTTGTTGAAAGCCTTCCCGATGTTGACTCTCGTCTTATTCCGACGCCTGTCTGACTCCAATTTGGCCCTTTTGGTGGCACTAGACAAAAGTTTTCTTTTCTTTGTCTTACGTGGAGTTTGCGTTGGGGTTTGGAATGAACTACAAGCAGTAGGTGACTCTTAGAATCCATCTTCTACTTTTGTCGAAAGTTGACTAAAGTTTTGTCGCTCGAGTTGTCTGATACGGAGAATGGCGGCGAATACACAAACCTGCCAGACATAGCCAGGTGAGCGTGAACGCGCATGACGTCACGCCCAGTCTCAAATTCCGTCCCGAATCCCTCTTATTTATTTTACTGTACAGGATTATAGAGGCAATTGCAGTGATCAGAGAAGGGCTCATTCAGCCCATCAGGCAATTGTTTAAGCATGTATGGGTTAGAAAAACGGGTATTTTTAACATGAAATGTTGCGCAATGCACCTTTAAGGGACTATGTATTATATTATATTATTATCATTTCAAAACTAGATAACTATATGATGCTCACCGTAAGTCTCATGAAAAGTATTCTGCTGCTCAGAACTGCTTCTGATCTCACACCTGCTCTTCTCCACCTACAAGAAACACAAAAGTGATTCAGAAACGAAACCGCAAAGCAGCAGCAGACTTGTTTAACGCTGTATTTATTCTTTTAACTGAGTGATGCTTCTTCTGCAGCTACACATCACCAAAACGTTTCAAAATCGGACCCACTTTACTGTATTATATTTGCCTTTAACTAACTGTGTACTAGCATTTAAATTAATCATGATTTTATACAGTATATATGTTTTTATTTAACGAAAATCCTGCATGTAACTACATCTATAATGACCCTGTAGATCCTTCCCTTAAACCTACCCATACCACCTAACCTTACCCGCATCCCACCTCAATAGCAGCAAATGTGTTCTACAATACAACATGAACACAATAAGTACATTGTGCCTAATATTTTTTTTTTAAAGTAAATACATAGTAGTTAAAGACACCTAATATAAAGTGTGAGAGCAAAATCCTTGAACTAAACTTTGTGGAAATATATGAAAACCGAATATCGGACCATTTTTCTGACAACTAATCGCTTCTATTCAGCTGTTGCTAATGTTATTTATATCTTTATATTTATATATATCTTTTTACAAAGAGCAAAAACTGACTACACCTATATCTAGTAAAAGCCTAAAACATGTTTGCGGTTACAGAAATGTTGCCACTATTGTACAAAAGTATTGAATGCTGTGGGCAACAATACTGAGAATGGAATGCTTTTCAGTGTGAAATATTGATTTCCCTGGAAAACATTTTTTTTTTTTTCACTGTTTGGTCAAAGCAAGCTGTTTTTATAGCTTATTATTGCATTCTCAGATCAACCCGAAGCATGTGGCGAGATGACAAACGCATTTAAATTCACTCTGCAAACTGGTTCTGCCTCCCCACTGGCAGTGATGGCTGAGCATGATTCAGAGACACAGACGGCTGGAACAGTCTTCAGATTTGTGCTGGAACGCTGGATTCCATGATTAGAGGAGTGCATAACGAAAGACTGATGCTCAATCAACACCACCCCGATCTGTTGCAGAAATCTGATTTTGTTGGTAAAGTTCAAGTCCAAATCTAGAGAACACTTTGTCTGCATACTTTGACAAACGATGCATTTAGACTCAGAAATAGCCGAGTTATCTGGTCACCTGTGTAGTCACTAATTGTATCCCTTAAAACTAATCTTTGATCACCAAAATGACATATTTAAACGTTTTATGCTGTGGGAAAAAATTCTTCATGCATTAAAAATAGCTTCAATGTAACTCTACTACACCCTTGCTTCATTTAGTATACGAATATGAATATGCAAATGAGCCCCGCCTCCACACTCACTTACACCAGCTCAGAGATCCACTCGATCGGTCAACTTTACACAAGTAATGCTAAACAACGTTGGACACATAAGTGTAATTACTACGATTAGCCTTTTGTTTGACTAGGTTATCAAACAGCTAATAGTGTGTTGCTAATGTTACACAAACCATGTTCCCGTTCGCCATCTCAGTCAGAACGCTGCCTTCTAACAACCAGTCTCCTTACAAACGCTTTGAACAACTCAGAACTAAATAGCACGAGAAATTTAATTCGTGGCACATATACGCACTTTCATGAGATCGTGTTGGAAAGGCATATAGTTCATCATAACATCGCCATATATACATCATGCACCCGCTATATTGCTATGTACCCGATTTTTCATATCAACAGAAAAATATACCGGGATAACCTGGCTTCTCTTGAGACTTCACTGCTTCAGAGCGGTCATAATGCTAAAGTTTGCCCGCACGTTGATATGTTTGGCAATTCCATTGTAACACTTTTGCAAAAGTCTGTTTATATATACATATATATGCAAAACAAACAAAAATGCAGTAACATACACTGATATTAAATAGCCTAAATAAATAATTTTAAACAGCAAGGATACATTAAATTAATTAAAAGTACCAGTTAATTGCATTTGTTATGTTACAAAAGTTTTATATTTCAAAAATATTAAGCAGCACAACTATTTTCAACACTGATAACGTTTCCAAGAAATAATAGATTAAACAAATGGATTACTTCATATAATATAATTTCTTCCAATTTACCTAAAAAGACACTCAAACCATTTTATTGCACATTGAAGATAAGAAATACCATTTAAAAATAAAGAATGATTTTATAACACAAAAGTGGCCAGATTACCTAAAAATGTGGTAGAAGGTATATTTGTTTCCCGCATATTTAAATAATATTCTAATGTGTCCAGACCTAACTGATGATCAATGTTAGTTTAATGATTCAATATCTAATGTAACAGTACCTCTGGGTGGGAAACGTTTCAGAAACAATAAAAAATTAGTACTATCCTTAATATAAGATGGTTGTTTAGGGACAAATTATTTAATATGATGATCTACAAAACTAAAAATTCTAGGTATACTTGTATTAAATGTCAATTTACAAAAAAAAGTTACGTTTTCTAATCATCCTGAAAAAAAGTCCTATATTTATCAAGAGTTCTATTATATGCAAGACAAAATATGTGATCTATATTATTTAATGTCCATGTAATAAAATGTATTTTGGTGAAATATCATTTAAAGAGAGGATAACAGAACATAGAAGTGTAACAAACAGAAAGGATCTAAAAAGTCCTGTTGCAAGACATTTTTGTGAGAGTAACCATAAAATGTCTTCTTTTTTTCTTCCTTGGTATTGAAAAGATAAAAACACAGTACAAGAGGAGGTAACATTGATTTTATTAGGAAAAAACGAGAGGCTTTCTGGATTTGTTTTATTTGAAAAGTCTGTTTCCAAAAGGTATGAATGAGGACCTTTGTCTTAAAGAGTTTCTGTGATATTGTTTATTGTATGAATCTGTTGTTGTTTTTTTAAATGGGAGATATGATCTTTTTTTTTTTCGATTACTTAATTCTTTATGATGTAGAAATGGGTAAAACGTGCCAATTTGATGAGGATGTTTTCTGATTGGGTGATTGTTCAATATTGATCATTAATCTTTTAACTAAGAGTGGCATCTTGAGTGGAGCTTGTCAGCTGTTGTTAATTTTCTTTGTATGAGAAAATTCAGCTTTGCCATCTCAGGAATAAATTACAATATATTCAAATAGAAAACGGTTCTAAAATAAGTTATTTTTTATTGTAATAATATTATATCACAATATTACTCATTTTATTGTATTTTTTTGGACCAAACAATTTTTTTAAAGCGTACTAGTCAAGTCAAGTCATCTTCATTTATATAGCGCTTTTAACAATGGATTGTTTCAAAGCAGCTTTACAGAGATAAACATATAATTTAAGGTAACAGATTGTTTTGGCGTTATAGCGTACTAAAAAAATACTCTGAGAAATGTATGTGCATCTTAAATTAACTGTTGACATATGCAGAACCAGACAGTAAATACATGAATTTAAGTCTCACAGTAAATTGTATGCTATATGCGTTTCATTCACTAAAAATAACTTAATACTCAGAGTCATTTGTTCTGAATTTTGACTACACTGTGTGCAATTTATGTTATTGATTCACAACAAAGAACTGACAGACTACAGATTACACTGACTGCTGTGCTGTATGTTTTTTGATTCACTAAAAAGGATAAACTCAAAGGAGTCTGAGGAGATTATTCCTCAGCAGGAAACTGTCGGATTCATTTTAGTATGGCATTTCACGCAAAGAATATATGTGCAAGAACTGTTAATGAAAGCTAATGTCATTCAGTTCTGATATTTAAAAAAAAAGAAATACCAGTAAAAAACTACTCACAGAAAGACACAAAAAGCAAAAAATCAACAAGAAAACAAATCTTGTTACCTTTCCTCCCCCACAGTCAGGACAGATGGCGGGCTGTAATTGTGGTGCGGTGGAGCCTTCATGGGGCGCAACTCCTTCACCACAACAGTTGAATCTCCATTGGACTGTTTGTTTGGGGGTGGCATCTGCAGGGACACCCTCTGATCCCAGAGCTCCAGCAGTCAAAAACTGTTCCTGACTGGAGGATTGTTGTAGTAGGAGCCTGCGAGGGATGTCGTAATGCTGCAGAGGTGGACTGGGTACCTGGTACATGATGGCCTGCATTTGAGCAGACTCTTTGAGTGGGCACACACAGGGTTTGAGCTCAGGAATCATGCGAATTGTCCGTACTGGAGTGTTGAGAAGGGAGATTGAGTTTGAATTAGGGTTCTGAGGGAGGCTTGTTAAGGATCCAAACTCATCAGTCTCTCCATGCCCAATATCCACGCTACCAGTGTAGGAGGAGAAGCTTCCAGAATACGAGGAGTGGCTTCCGGTGGCGATGCCGCTGTCTGTTGAGCTCTGCCGTCCCGCCTCTTGGAGGCCTCTAGGATTAGGTGGCTTGGACGGGGGCCGAAGCCCTCCCAACATTACTCCATATAGACGCTCGTCACAGGACGTGCTGACAGAACAGGCTGTACTCTTAGATCCTGCAACCCCTAACAGTGGTGATGATGATGATGGTGGTTCAATGGGAGTGGGGTGTCTGACTGGCTCAGGCCATATCGCCAGGCGGCTGCCCAGGCTGTTGTCAGAATGACTGGTCTCAGAGGAGGAGCTGGAGATGCTCCGATCATCTCCTGCCAAGGAGGCGCCATAACTGAAGGTGGAGGCTGACAAATTATGACAAAGAGAGGGCGGATTAACAAATGTTTGCCAGGAAACCATTTTTAGCATTGTGCATGCATTTCAAAAAGGGAGTGACACAAAAACTATTTATGACTTTATGATGTTCAGGGTTTTTTTGGGTGCAACAGAAGAATTTTTGAAGAATCTTTACATGTTTTTCATTGGTATTTCATGTATTTTTGTCAAATAAATAAATAATATGTTGGACCTGACAACCAAAACTGCTAGTTTCAGGCTTTTGGTATCACTTTGTGCTCGCTATCTTCTTACATGATTTAAACTGAAATCAATATTTCTTGTCAGTTTATTTCTTTATCTATACTTAATACATAAATCTATACTGTATGCATCCATAGTATAAAGTCACTCGGTCATTATTATTATCCCTTCAGAATGAAGTTTCAGGATTTAGTTTGACTGTACATTATCCCTTACAAAACCTTGCCATCTGCCATGTAATAACAATAATAACAAATAAGAGCTTCAATTTCTGTCTTTTTCCCACACAAAGCAATTGAGTGACTTTTATGTGAAGGCTTTTATGATCCTTTTATAGTGCTTTAGTTTTATGGTCTTTTTGGAGCTTGACAGACACTATGAACTGTTGCTGTATGGAAATGAACTATGTCAAATATTCATCAAAAATGATCCTTTTGCGATCCACTAATCCACTAATTCTTACTTACTTACTTACTTAAAATACTGATCAATTATAATGAACTCTTTTTTTACAAAAATCTTATTTTAAATAAAATAGCCTCCTATGTGTGTTTATTTGGTGTATGGCTTTTTTAATTACCTGCCATGCTGTGGTGGCTGCAAATCGACAGCATACTGAGTCGTTTCTCTAGCTCACTGGCCTCCTGGCTAATCCTGTCTTCTATAGATGACGGGTTCGCATTGGGGTCTATGGAAACATTACATTTTAATTAAACCAATACAGTGAACATTCATCAACCAATACAGTGAACATTCATCAACCAATAAAGTGAACATTCATCATTCATACACACCAACATATATCCTTATGATCAAACAAACGAAACACAAACATGGACCAGACAGCACTGATTTGTCACTGAGTATTAAGTCATATATAATCCATCACTGTTGTATCACTGTCTCTGCTGGGAGAATTACTGGAGCCACTGGCCACATTTATCAGTTTCTACTGGTACATCACAGGCACAGCCTCACAGCAATAATCTCTCATGCTCGCACACACAGTTGTATTCACACCCACACACGGTAAGCTTTGAGACCTCCTTTTGAATATGGCAGTAGCTTGGTAATATTCTCTCTTACAATAGAATAAATCAGGACACTGAACACAAAGTGCTCAAATAAGACAATAAATCAGTCAGGAGAGAATAAACATACGAAAAAGTCAACTGGAACAGAACAACAGGCAAAGAAAAGCAGAATATAGCAAGGAAAAGTTTATATGGAGGAATATAGTTTAGTGATAGATATTTCTGGCGTCTTATTAGCATGAAAAGTCAATTTCATGCTGGTCTAAAGTAGTTCAACAGGCAATGCGATGGGCAACAAATTGACTGAAAAATCAATATCACACAAGCAAAAAACTAAATCGGAAGTCGCTAGAGCAAGTGAGTAGATTTTGTTAAAATACTTCAAATAATATTATACAGTAAGTTAGCAGCAATTTTTTTTCTTGCACAGTTGAAAAACAGTGCTGAGTGTGTGAAGAAAGCTGAAACGAGCATTTGCTTTTTGCATATTTAAAGAGGTTTGTCATTGTACAATTTATCTGCTCTGTGAAATCCTTCTGAAGAATACGGAATAAAGTGAAATGCTGAAAAAGAAGAGTGCCTTGGGTATACCCTGTACCCATTATTTATCACTGGCAATCTGAACTCAACCTTTATTGAATGTCAAAGGTTAAAATACATCAAGTGCACATAATTAATGACACTTAATGACAGCTAGAACAACTGCTCTGACATCTCAGTACGAGGGATGACAGGTGAGAACTTCATGCAATGTGCATAAATCATAAATCTGAGAATTAAGAGAATGTGCTGTCATAAACATCGAAGTAAACAAACTTTAAGGCTTTTGAATTACACCTTTATACATCAATCAAAGAAACTGGGAGAATTTATAGAGGAAAAAATACCGGAAAAAGTTTTCGCTGTGATTACAAGCAAGCAAGCAAGCTATTATCATCATCATCATCATCATCATCATCATAATCAAAAATCCACCATACAACAATCGGGCTGAAAATTATTGTGTTGTCTCTGTGGTTGGTCCACAGAGAAATACCAAAATATGTTTAGCAATTTTGAATAATCATATTTTTAAGGCTATGGTACACATACACAACATCAATGTAATGAAGGGGGAAATAATAACACCTGTCAAAAAAATTGTCCACAGAGCATAGATCAACTCTGTAAATGGGTCTATGTAAATATGTAGTCATTTAGCACATGCTTTTTCCCCTAAAGCAACATAGTACATTTATTACAAGAAATGGCCCTGCAGCAGCCCGGGCATAATATTAGTGCTTCGCAGATCAATTTTTGTGTGGTTTGAACTGTTCTACAAGCTCTCTGACTATGTAGAGAGCCATTTTAACTATGGCTGTACTAATTTTAGCTATGAACCACAGAAAAGCTTTAAGCCACTTCATATCCATATATTCTTTTATGTTACTGACCGTGTGTCAGCTCTACACAGGATTCTGTTTACACAACTCATGACAGCATGCAACCTTTCAGCTAGACCTTATCATATTATCTCAATATCACTGGCTCAGCAGCTCAATTCAGTGATTCTCTGTGCGTTCAGTGTGGCGGTTTGATCTATAAAATGATGTGTCAGGTTAATATCATTTTATGCTTACATGGTAAATCTATCTAGGACCAATCAATAAACTAAATGTGAATCTTACATTGATTTTTAGGACAATAATTCAGTATCCAGGAAGTCATGTAAGGTTCCATTAAAAAGATATGTACCACATAGATATTATTACCCTCCGTCAAGGTGGAGCCATTGAGTGGTTAGATTTAAAAAGCGATTGCCATTACAAAGCAAGACTCATTAAAGTTCATTCAACTAAATGAATATGATGTTGAGTATTTTCTCCTTAAAACTGCAGTGAACCAAAGACAGTCTCAAAAACGCGGTTTGAAATCGCTGGTGTTTCTGACGTCACAAACTACCTTGTAAACGATCATGATCTCTGAGTGGATCTCTGAGCTGGTCTGAGTGAGTGGAGGCGGGGCTAATTTGCATATTCATAGAACCGCGTATACTAAATGAGGCAAGGGTGTAGAGTTACATTTAAGCTATTTTAAGGCATGAATCTTTTTTTTCAAGGAAAAAACTTTTAAATATGTAATTTTGGTGATCAAAGATGAGTTTTAAGGGATACAATTATTGACTACAGGGGGACTTTAACTCTTCTGTACTGTTTGGGGTCTCAGAGACATACTTAACATTGAATTGTCGAGTTGATATGACTTTTTAATAATCTTATGAGAACTGATTATTAACTAATTTTCAACTTGATAACACATTTCAAATGGCATGTCACATGAAAAATATTGCATTTCTTAGGGATCTGAGAAAATCCGATTTGAAAACATTAAATAATGCAATGAATTTTTACATAATAAAATGACGTATCAGAACAGTTCTGCTAATTATTTATTGGTTATTTTAAAGGTACACTATGTAATTGCTGGCCCTCCAACAGTTTAATAACAAAACTACATGTATTTTGCGGAAGAACATTGTGCAGGTTGTGCTTTGGCTCTGCGTGACTGTGCGGATGAATATAGAATATGAAAAATAGAGAAATTATCCTACTGCTCATTAAAAATTCACTACTAGGCTTAAGATATAACCAGTTTAGATGGAAAGGATCTCAAGCTGACTACCCAGACAGTGTACTTCCTTGAAAATACATTCCAGCACAGCGCTGTAACAACCATCATGAAATGACCCTTCACAATAGATAATGCTTTACAATGAACTCTGTTAGAGTGCTACATATGACAATTTATCTGTTCAGTAAAATACCTCACTCGCCTGTTAAGTAATAAAAACATCATCTCCACATCGTTTTTACAACATTTCAAATCCCTCGGTTCTCGTCATCTCTGAAAAGCCAAGCCAATGTTGATTCTTGTTTTATTACGAGCTCTCTTTTGCCAGCAGACTCTCCTCTGTTCAGGTGATTCCCCGGAGGTTGGAGATTTAGCTGCTCCATGCCAACCTTTCTCGCTCGTTGTGACAACTAACCCACTCCCAAACCCTACACGAGTCAAAGTAGTAACTTTTCTCTATTTAAGGATATGACGAGACACGCACGGGCGAGTATGTATGCAATTTCCCATGAAAACCATCCCGTCAGGTCTAAAATGTAAACACTTATAATAGGCTTATAACAGTCAATCAGGGTAAGACAAAACCACATGTTGGAAGAAGGATTGATGATGTATTGACATTATTTAAATGTTGTTTATTCTGAACAAAAAAAAGTTACATAGTGTACCTTTACTTTCACATTTCCAAGCAGTACATGCCTACTGTGTGGCAAAACAGAGGGATGCAGCTTCAAAAATATGATTGATTCGATCAGAGGAATCTATTAAATTGAATTGGAGGGACTATAAAAGGCTAATTTAAAAATTAGTATAATTATTTTTACATTTACATAATTGGAGTCTCTGGGACTCCAAACAAAAAATCAGCAGCCATTCTGAGCAGACCATGAGGGTGCTGGGAGAAATAAAGAGGGAGAGAAGGAAACTTGACACCACATATCAATCATACATAGAGCTTAGACACAAATATGTGCACGCAGCATACAGCTCACACACAGCAAGCTAATGAGGCCAACATTAGCAACTTTGAAATCTCTGATCTGAGATGTTACATCACACACCTCCACAAGTATGAACTCACCTGGCAGGACTGGGCTCAGTCCAAACGGCCCCCTGCTTGGTGATATGCCACGAACGATGCAATCGAACAAAAAGCTGATCTGTTCTCCTTCTGCACATGCAAGAAAGAAAACACCAGCCCCTATGGAGACAGAGAGAAAAGAAATAGCTTCTTAATGTCTTGAGCCCATTTTATTCAAAAGACATAATGCACCATTTCGAATTCAGATTGATATTAATAATTTCCCATAGCAGCACTGAATACAAAATTAGTTTCAGTAATGACCACAATAGCAGTCACAAGATTACAACAAATGAGGGAACATCAAGTCATTCCTCTGAGCAGACGAGAACATTGACATTTCACTGATTCAGAATAAATGAATTATATAGACTAATCCAACCCAATGAAACCAAGAAAAACTATACGAGTTTATACATCATTCAAATAAAATTCATCAGGCATACAAAGTCTATAAAGTAAAGTAAAGGCTAATTGAAGACAGTGATGTTTTATCAATGAGCCAAATTCATGGAAGTTATATATCTAATAGGTCCACAGCTTTTGAAACGAAAAAAAAGAAAAAGAAACAGTGTTATAAAACTAAAGTTTATTTTTGCACTTTAGCATAATTATAATTTATGAAATAAATGGATTGTGTACCAAGAAAATCCGCTTTGGTGCCCACACCTCCCCCATACAAATGTCAATAGCATCTGCAAAGCCTGAAACACCTTTCAAACTAAAATAAGAGCTGGCAAAAGCACAGCTGAATGAAAAACAAGCCATTAAAGAGCCTTAAGGCTTCGAGTATAATGGGAAAACTGGGGTAACACAGACCTTATTTGTGACAAGATGCATTAATGATTCATCCGCAGTCAGATTATGACTGTTTTTCTTTGTAGGACATGTTTAGGAAAGAGACTTAGGCGGTCTTTCATGAAGGCAAATATAGTCCTGTCAAATCCCTGAGCATCACTGTGGAGACGGTATAGGAGTGACGGTCCATTACAAAAATAACCATAACACCCTTAGCACTTGGTTTCATAATTCATTTACGCACTGCTAGGCTATTAATACTTAAGACATGTGGCCAAATCTGTGGCTATTTATTTACCTTGCCCACATTTTGAGAATAAAACAGGCCTTCCCGCTTTTGCTAAATTATAGAATTTTTGATTATGAAATGACTCTGCTAACATGTGCAGTATACAATAGAGTACTATATCCCACAATGCAATGCGGTTGAACTTACATTTCCAACATTACAAATTAACTGTAAGTAGTATCAGTGGTGATTTTTTTTAAACAGTTGACTTTTGATTAAAGTGCCAATAAAAAAAAAAAAAAAAGAAACGTATATTGTTGCATAATGAATTCTGTGTCACATTTTTTTTAATAGTAAGCCGTATACAGTGTATACTGCACAGCATTCAATAAAAGAAGTCAGTATTCCAGTTCAAACATAGGCATTCTCGGACATACTTTACAATTCTTATGACTTTTTTTGTGCGGTATAAAAAGTTGCACAAGTAAATAAATGTCTCATGTGCAACATCTGTAATCAAGTTAAGATCAAACACTTGCAGAATCGTGTAATTAGAGTTGCATTGTCAGTTTCAATTTAGGTTGCAATATTTCTAAGTCTGTTGACAAACTAAACCAGTGAATAAACTCACATTCGTTCAGTCTCTGAAATCAAATGAGACTGCTGACACGCTCACTAATTGCACTGCCAGTATGTGTTTTGTCACGGCATGTGGCCTGTGACATTGAATTGCGCTAGAGACAGCAACAAGGCCATATTTTCAATTTAATTCACTCTGTCCCCCGAGCAGCCAACTGCTGAATTACACTAATAGCAGTGGGAGGGACATGACCTCTGTGTGTGTGTGTGTGTGTGTGGCAGAGACCAATCGGAGCTCATGGCTGTCAAACTATAATGAGATAAAGCACTGGCTAACAGACACATGCTCCAGACAAGGTAATTATTTCACTATATGCATCTACTGTAAATGTAAACTTGGCTGTCTTAGTATCTGTTTCCTTGTATGTTTTCATGGATTTTACATACATTTTCAGAATGCATCAGGTGGTAGTAGTGGTTGTAATGAAGATTCAAATTCAATCGAATTGAACAAGCTCTCTTTATGCGGATGTCTAAGCCCAGAGATCATCTGCAGCTCTATTGATTTGCATTTTCTGCACTGATTTTTAAGGAACATCTGCAAAATGTATTTAATTTAAATATGGTCAAATGTGTAAAAACAAATCTAAAAGTATTTAACATTTAAGATATATTTTGAATAAGAATAATAAAAATATATATATTAATATAAATAAAAAAAATGATGCTATGATTATTTAATTGGTTTTCTCTTGTTTTTGCATGTGTTCATAATTTCTTTGTGTGACAGCCTGGCCAACAATTATGTCCGCACAATTTAGCTGGTTTCATTGCATCATTACAAATAAAACCGACTCAAAGCACGCCTACGCATTACGCAATATCCTTCTTTAACCAATTTTTAATAATATTGGAATAAAGGTTGAAGATGTCAATTTTCCTAGGCTGGAAATCACTTTTTTATTTTCTGAATAAAGGTGTTCTTTTTGTGAAGTTCTGCATGTGCAGTTTCCATGATGCAGTCCTAGACACGACTAATGTTGTACAAATGTACTACAACAGCAATGAGAGTCTGGTGTCCAATGTGAGCACCCCTGCCCCCTCAAGTTCTTCCACTTGGCAGGAGACCTTTCACATGCCACCTCACCGCCTAAACACATAAAAATGCCCACAGTTCCCAGCATAGTGCATTAAAACAGCGTCTAACAAATATCCTGAACACCTTTTAAAGTGAAAAAGGTATTATCCTGATTATGATTGCAATAAAAACCCTTTTGTGTTGTGACAACATGGCAGTCGTTGACCCGGTGTAAGGAAGTTTCATATAAGATGGAGCATTAAAGCTGCTGAAGCCACAGAACAGCTGCAGTTGGATTTGCCAGAGAGGCAGCTGGTGAGTTTCACTGGTGCTAACGCAACATCTTACACTGGAGCATATCACACATTACCACAATCTGTGTGGGTGCACAAAAGTAATGTGTACTGATTCTGTAAGTATGGGGGGAGTGAGAGAGGGAGGGAGAGAGACGGAGAGACTAAAGTGTGACTGTGAGGTTATCTGATTTTCACATTTACTATTGGCAATCACCTCTGTGCTACTTCCACCGCAGAGAACATAAGACCAAGCGAAAAAGAGGCAGAGGTACAAGAATATGGAGTTTCCTTTGTGTCTTTTTTATTCAATCAAACATACTGCGTTTGAGAGTAAAACGAATTATTTTGTATTTAAAAAATTAAAAGATTGCAAAAAAGTATTCTAAAGGCTCAAAAATAAAGAAGTTGACCAAATTATTTGCAGTGCATGTAAATCTTTGAAAACCTTTATTTTTCTTTGTGCATTTCGAACACTTTTCATCACAAACGCACAAATTTTGCTCTATTTTCTGCTGTCTTTTTTGCGGGTCTAAATCTTTTGCTTGCGAATGAAGCTGTGTCTCAGTGGGCGGTCTCTAACGACCAGGATGGAAGGCCCTTTTCTATTGGTCGACCCTGGATCGAAGTGGACCACGCCCATTACGTTTTCCCGCTGCTGCCGCGCAATGTGTCTAAGAGAAGAGCCAGCGAACTTGTAACATGGCGAGCAACAGGTCCTTTACTGATTTAATATCATAAACTCAGTGACAAGTGAACTGAATTATTCTCTTGTTATGCTCTCCCATTTAAATACTTAACGTTGGCTAAACCAGTGAAGTCTGGCCAAAAGGGTCGGGCTTAGGTAATCATGTCTGATCGGCCATAACTTCCGGATCATTTCAATACCCGGAACCGTGATTGTGCTAGCAGCAGGAGAGACGTTACATTGACTTTTAACAATATTAGGCTTAAAAATGATAATGATAATATAGGTACATAAAATACATAATATAAAATAGGTTTTATAAATTACTTCACACGTTTTCTTTCGTTAATGATTAAATTGTTTTACATGCACTTATCTAGCAAGACAGGTTTTAGATATTTTTCCCAGCAGTTTTTAACTTTGCTGTTATGTAAGTGCATTTAAACTTTTTCATATTCATATTTAATCTTAAATTTTTTAAATAACGATTTAAATAACGCTGACTGTCAGAAAAGAATCCGGCTGTTGCTTAGTGTGACTTGCTACTGTTAGCTGCTGTTTTATATGTCATGCGCATGATCTGTCTGTTAACAAAACTGCATGTCTCTAGAGCACCAAAAGTTAAATAAGGTACACTATTTAACTTTTGGTGCTCTAGAGACATGCAGTTTTGTAAGTTAAGTAAAGAAATAACAGTGATTATAATTTGTGATCAATGATATGAAGGTCAATGATATGTTGTATGATATTATTTAGTCAAAAACCAAGTTCACAGTTACATATAAATGCTTCTGAATGAAATATTTTTGTTACATCAGCTAACTTTGAAATATAAGCTGATATTTCCTGACACACTACAACAAAAGATAAAAAATAACTGGATTAAAAACCAATTTCTGTATACTATTGGTGGCTCTGGCTGCTAGCTATGCTGTTGTGTTGACTAATAAAATCTATTCATTAACTACAGACTGGTTTAGCCAACGTTAAGTATTTAAATGGGAGAGCATAAGAAAAGAATAATTCAGTTCACTTGTCACTGAGTTTGTGATTGTAACAGTTCGTTATTGTGAGAACCGGCGAACGTTCAAAGACTTTAATTAATAAATAAACAAATACTAAACTAAAGTAAAGGCAGCAGTCCCTTACGGACGACTGCCGCCACACATAATAAAACAAAACACAACACAATGTAAAATCCCTCTCTCCATCTTCACTGCCGTCGCTCCTCCTCTAGACACACTGCGCGGCAGCAGCGGGAAAACGTAGAGGGCGTGGTCAACCTGTCACTTCGATCCAGGGTGACCAATAGAAAAGGGCCTTCCATCCTGGTCATTAGAGACAGCCCACTGAGACACAGCTTCATTCGCAACAAGCTAAACTTTTCAACTCGCAAGCAAAAGACTTAGACCCGCAAAAAAACCTGCGTTTGTGATGAAAAGTGTTTGAAATGCACAAAGAAAAATAAAGGTTTTCAAAGATTTACATGCACTGCAAAAAAATTTGTTATCAACTTCTTTATTTTTGAGCCTTAAGAAGACTTTTTTGCAATCTTTTTATTTTTTTTAATTACAAGATAATTAGTTTTACTCTCAAACACAGTATGTTTGATTGAATAAAAAAGACACAAAGGAAACGCCATACAAGAACCACACATTCAACTCTATAATCATAGGATTCGTCTCATTGAATAAAATGCAGTGTTCTACCAAAACAAAATAAAAGAGATGTCCAAGAATCCATTTGCATCTCAAAAAGATCAAGTGTCAAATGAGCAATTCGACAAAGAAAATATATTCAAGAATAGCACTGAATAAGGAAAAGAACATGAACTTACAGTAGCCACATCTTGTCCCTCCCTCAAAGACAAATCCATTAGGAACGGCGCCATAACGCCTTAAGTCCGACAGTTTCCATTGGCCGATGACAGTTGGCGGGAGGTCTCTGGCGATCACAATCAAATTGTTGCACAAATGCAGGGAGGCGGGGCCACTCTCTAGTTTGCTGCCAGGCTGGACATTAACGTTAAACCTGTGAACTGAAAAAGAGACAAGTTTATTATCAGAGAGCACGACTTTAAAATTAGTACATCAAAGCAAAGCAGTTGTTCTGGAGACCTAATTTCATTCCATCAGCTAAAAAGACAAAGTACGTTTGCATTTAAAATTCCAAAATCTTACTATTGTATAATATATTAAGATAAACAAAATGGTAAATTTCTACAGTTTTTGTACATCTATGTATTTTGGGTAACACTTTATTTTAAGATGACAAAGTTACATGCTACTACATTTACTTACTATAGTAATAACAGTAAATTGTGCATAATTACAAGTAACCAACACTAAACCAAACCCTAACCGTAACTCTAAGTACATGTAGTTAATTCATATTACTCAGTACTTATGGGTAAGCACAATGTATAATACATCACATTAAAATAAAGTGTAACCTTATTTTGAATTAACATACTCCTTGAACGATTTTTAAAGGAGCATATACTGCATTTTGACTCATTATCCGATATTCTCCCCATCAAATGATCTTTCTACCGTGAGTTAACAGCTTCATATCAAATTGTAAACCATCAGAGACACATTTAAACAACAGCAAACTGAGTAATGAAGTAAGCGTGAGTAGTGAACAGGGTTCCTTTGACCATTCAATTTCCATAATATTTCGAGTTTTATGTGAACACTTGTGAATAATGTTTTTTTAGAATATTATTGAATCAGATTCAATCCACCAATCAATCATTAAGATTAATTATTTTTCTTTTAATGACTCAACAGATCAATTCGCAAACTAATCGAACCATACTATGGCATGTTTACTCTACACAAGAGTGATGTCTTATTTATAATATATTTGGTCATAAAGGTTGTGAGATATTTACTCTAAATTTCCAAGACATTTTCAGGCATGGCAAACATCATTTTAAAATTCCCTGATATTTCCAACAAATCCATGACTGTGGTAAGGAACCCCAAATGGATCATGATTAGAGGATATTTATTTGCAGCTGCATTTTTATTTGTCTTTTTCTAGGCACAGACAAATTTGGAGTAAATTTATTTCAAGATCAATATATCTAATTGGGCAACACAGGTGTTAATATAGACTCCAAATCATTAGGAAAAACACCTCAATTTATCATAACATTTATCATATCAAATTCCAAGAGGGCATAATGCATAATGATACAGTTTGCTTGCAGCAGTGTGTGTGCATATGTGTGTGTGTCTTGCATCAGCGATGGGATTAATGCTTTTTACTTCATAATTACTATTCCATTGTGCACCTTGTCACATATAGCCTAACACACACACAAAAGATTTATCAATCATCTATCTTTTATATTATAAGATTTATCCATACAACACACACTCTCACATCTCAATCTATGGTCAACCAAAGCAAGGCAGTCTAAAGTCACTAAAATCAGTCATGATTCAAAGTGAGGGAACTTGCTACAGCACAGTGTGTTAAAGCAGTTTAGAAGGAAACTGATAAGAGCAACAGAGCAGAATGACACATCAGCATCCCGCTTCACCAGACTCCATCTATCATCATTCTGACTGCCTTAAAGACAAATAACCAAACAAACAGGGGACCTGAAAATCAAGGAGGTATCACAGTGGAGACGACACATGGATTCAGAAACAGCTGCCAAACAAGAGCTTAATCATTCAACACTTTAGCTGCATATGGAAATGAAGTCATCTGAACCAAGTCTAGGATAAAATACTATATGTTTTTTTAGTATGTGTTACTCTGTCAAACATATATTCGAGAAAAACTTTAGATCTCTAGGAGATCACACATAACAGGGGTCCCAATTATAACTTGGCTGCTTTCTCAAAGGGCAGGCCACACCACTCTGACTTGAGAGTGTATGTGTACGTGTGAAAGCAATAGATCCAGGGTGTAGGTGTGTGTCTGTACGTGTTTTTCGAGGGTGTCTGGGATTAACAGACCCAGTAGCGGTCTTGACTCATATAGTGCCCTGAGGGAGCTCAAACTTTAGCTATGTTTGCTAGAAATAACAATAAAATAGATGATAAATTAAAGAGTAAGAATTAAAGACAGAGGATTTACATAGTAAAACTATTATATATATATATATATATATATATATATATATATATATATATATGTGAAAAATTCTGTGAAAAAGTAAAAAATTATTTCAATTGTCATTAATAAAGTTCTTGACATCAAATTGGAGGACTTTTTAAAAAGTTGCTATATATATGCGTGTGTGTGTGTATATATTTAAATATATATATATATATGGGATGTGGAGTGGGGGGGGGGGGGGGATTTATTTCACATTATGAAATAAATGTTTCTCCAAAACACATTGGCCACAATTACCCTTTTATCCAATACTTTTTGCAATCTTCTTTTGCCAAGATAACAGCTCTGAGTTTTCTCCTATAATGCCTGATGAGTTTGGAGAACAACTGACAAGAGATCAGAGACCATTCAGACCCTGCAGATCCCAGATCCATGTTGGTGCTTCTTCTCTTCAGTTCCCTCCTATTAAATTGTACACGTGGGGTACTTTTTATCCTTGTTTGCACCAAACACATCTGGTGGGGTTGCTACCAAAAAGCTCTTTTTTACATTTTATCTGACCACAGAACCCTGTGCCGTTTGAAAATCCAGTCGTGTCTGACAACTGAATATGCTGGAGTTTGTTTTTGGAGGAGCGAGCAGGATTTTTCTTGAAACCCTCCCAAACAACATGTGGTGATGTAGGGGTTGTTTAATTTTTTTTTTTTTTTGGTAGGCTTCTGACCCCAAGACTCAAGTAATCTCTGCAATTCTCCATCTGGGATCCTTGGAGAGTCTTTGGCCACTCAAACTTTCCTCCTCACTGTGCATTAAGACAATATAGACACACGTCCTCTTCCTGGCAGATTCATAACATCTTTAGTTGATTGGAACTTCTTAATTATTGCCCTGATAGTCAAAATGGGGATTTTCAATTATTTAGCTATTTATTTACAGCCACTTTACAGCACATTCTTTGGTTTTACTCATTGTGATGGATGATTAAGGGAATTTGGCCTTTGTGTTTCCTCATATTTAAACTCCTGTGAAACAAGAAGTCATAGCTAGACAATTTCATGTACCTAGTAGTCACCCCGGTGAGCTAAAAGAAAAGGTAAATATTAATGGTAATATACTTCAGAGATAAAATAATACTCAAAGGCAAAGGCAATAAAATTGGTGACAGATACACCTACGCGTTGCGGCTTATGCCTTCGAAGGCATAAGCCGCAATGCTTAGGTGTATCTGTCACCAATTTTATTGATAAAAGCCATGATCAAATAAAGGCTTTTTAACTTTTTTCTACACAATTCGAGTGCCTTGTAGTATTATTTTGTTTTTGAGCTTAATTATCCCAAGCATCCAAAGAGCACCGAGATTTCACACCCTGTGCAGCACTTCATTTGCATTCTTTGCTGTGATGATATACTTCAGAGATTTTTTACTCGTAAAAAATTGTAGGGGTGCCAATAATTGTAGCCAACGTGTTTTGGAGAAAAACATGTATTTCATAATGTGATTCCTCCCCCTATGATAATCCTCCAATTTGAAGTCAAGAACTTCATCACTAACGCCATTTGAAAAGATGAATGACACTTCAAGTTAACCATCAGAACCATCAACCATCAAAATATGAGGCATTTAAAAAAAAAAAACTAAACTGAAAAAGGGGTAAACTATAGCTTCAGGTTTTATTTTCCTATGCAAAAAAAAATGCATAGGAAAAAAAACTCATAGGAAAAACAATACACTGTCTATATATTTCATTGGTTTGCTCTTGTTTTTGCACGTGTTCATAATTTTGTATGTCATTCTGGCCAAAAATTACACACAATTTGGCATGTTTCATTGCATTATCACAAATAAAACAATTGACTCCAATTTAAATATAGTGAACAAGGCATATAGACTACTGTTATGATGTATGATAACAGCGTGATAACAGCCCACAGTTACTTTGAAATGTCATTATATGGCTGTGAAATTATTTTTTACAAAAATTCTACTTTGTGATCCACATAAAAAAAACAGCATTCACCTGTCATTGTGTGGCTGCGGAATGATTTTTACCAATAATAAAAAAAAAATCTTTGTGATCTACTTAAAAATAACAGCATGTGAGTTTGGAACGACATGAGGGTGAGTAAATAATGACAGAATTTTAATAAATCCCCTTTTTGATCTGATCACTACACATGCTCTTCTCTCACCCTCTCCAAGGCTGTAGCGAATACGAGCATCCCAGGCCAGAAGAGTCACTCTGTTGTCGAAGCCCAGCATGACAGACTGGCTCAGGCAGAGCAGACTGAGCGCATAATTCACTCCATCAAACCCCTGAAGAGCCTCCAGTCCACAGATATCCCTCAGCGTGGCCTGATTCCTCTCCCGCTGTCCTTTACTCTTCTCTCCACGCTCCTTATACACCAGCAAGGACAGGCAGTCTAAGACAGTCAAGATTACAAATTGATAAAACATCAGAACAGAAATGCATCTTACACTTACAAAAACTGCCAAACATCACAATGATAATATCATGTTTTTTTGGTACCTTGGAGTTCCATATAAACACCACTGCACATGAAATCACTCAGTGCAATTGTATGAGCACCATTACCATAAATGTACCATGTACCATTCAAGTCAAATAAAATCATTACAGGTACTATACTTTTAAGTCAATCAAAAGTCTACATTTCCTTTCATATCAACACTGTGTTGCATTATAATTCCAGCAGTTGATATTATAATTTGCATAATCGTCATCAGGAATTACAAATGACAAAGTAACACATGCATGGGACGCAGTTACTGGGCCATGAAATATAAACCGTCTCTTTCCATAGACTAGTGTTGTGTGACAGCATCAAGCTATAGTCAGGATGATTGCACTTGTTGTTTTGAATGCGGTGATGTTTTGTTTTTATGCTTCTGTACAAAAGAACAAACCACTTCATCACCAGACTTCTAAAACAGTATGTGAGGAGTCGAGCAGCTGTCATAACACACATCAAAAGACACAGTGATCCATGAAAGCAACTGGAGACTAACCTATTAAACAATGACAACTTCAGACAACAGAGATCCAAAAATGACCTATCCGCTAGCCAAGCTTACCTAAAGTTATGCAAGTATTTGGCTTGCAATGTGAATGCTGATGCTAATCATGAGAGAGACTGGGGCCACTTGTCACATTTTTTAACGTCAGACAGGGAATATTTATCAGGGAAGGTTTATTTTTTTAAAGTCAATGTCTGCATAGACGCATACCTTCAAGTTCTAAGAACTCTTTTGAACATTTCTACCATTATCGGCCAAGAAAAAAGTTAATTCAACTATTATGATCTCTGCCACTATACACTCTAAAAAATGATGTGTTGGATTTACTTAAAATATATATGCACCATTTTTGCATCATACTTTTTAAGTAATCCCAACTTGGAATAATTTTACTTAAAATTAACAAGAAAACTGTTGTTATATGTACTTAAATATTTGAGTTCACGCAACATTCTTTACTTAAAAATATATGCATCACGTTACATATATTTTTAAGTAAAGAATGTTATGTGAACTCAAATATTTAAGTACATATAACAAAGGTTTTCTTGTTTATTTTATGTAAAATAATTCCAAGTTGGGATTACTTAAAAAGTATGATGCAAAAATGGTGCATATACATTTTAAGTAAATCCAACACAGTGCAGGCCATGTGAGATCAAAACAAATCTTAGTTCCGTTAACTTAACATTTAAGCTCATTTGTATATAAAAATAAGACAATTAAATGAGCTGAACCAACCATTTTAACTTATTTTAGATCTTCAGCTATTGGTCTGCTAACTGCACTGCTCCAGTACATTCAATGTCTTAAAATAAATTAAACATGCAAATCACACACAATAAAGCTTTATTATTTTTTATTTTTTTGCCAAAGGCTTGAAAGCCTGAAACCACACATGAAATGTAACAAAATGTGGCAAATCGACAAATGGAAAATCACTTTTAACAGGTCACTTTTTCACCTTTGCAACACTTCTCAAAAGATTTACATTTTTCCAATATTTACTTTTGCAACATAAAAAAAACCTCTTAAAGGACAATTCCGGTGCAAAATGAACCTAGTGGTAATTAACACATGGTTACCGAGTTGATCGTTCTCTGGGATGCGTTTTCATGATAATCGAATGTACGTAGAGTTTTATCTCTCAAAACTGTTTAGCTTATAACGCTAGTATATGGGGCATAGAATAAGCAAAAGTAAATCACTAGTTAATACCACTAACAAGGCTCAAAATAGCCCCACATTAACACGGTAGCATAATGAGGGTCCCTACATGCAAACCGAAGCATTGAGGACTTTGTAAGTGTACAGACAGTTTAATAAGAAGATACTTTATAAAGACAGTACATTACGCGTATACAGGCAGGAGCCATCTTGGAAAACAGTCTCGACCAGTAGAGCCACGAACGCCGTGCTAAGTGAGATGAACTGTGACTTGGAATCTCATAATATGGTCCGTTGTTTCCGGAAGAAACTATTTTAATAAACAGATATAATTCATGCATTTCCATGTAATTAGTTTCACAAACGTAATTCCTATCGACCAGCTCACTTAGCACAGCGTTCGTGACTCATCACCTCTATGCCTTCCAGCGTTACCCCAGTCTGTGAAGGATCATCTGCTGAGCCACCTTTCGTGATCGTGATGATCCTCAATGTGAGATGTTCCAGTTCCTCTTCATTCCTATGAGTATAAAAAAAAAACATTAAAAAAAACAGGAAATCTGCATTTACTTGCAACATCACTTGTTATTGTTCAGACTGTTGCAAAAAATCAATTGTATTGAAACACAGAATGAGAAAGAAATGTACCTTTATATTTTAAAATAAAATAAATCTCTTACAGCCTCTTACATTTGCAACATTATAAATGTCTATACTGTCACGTTTTATCAATTTAATGCATACTTGCTGGATAAAAGTATTAATTTATTTTATTTCTTTAAAAAAAAAAAGTTCTAATTGACCCAAAACTTTTAAATTGCATCTTAAAATATATTCAAATAGAAAACAGTTGTTTTAAATTGTAAAAATAATAATAATAATAATCACAATATTACAGTTTTTGCTGTATTTTGGATCAAATAAATGAAGGCTTGGTGGGCAGAAGAGACTAATTTTAAAAACATTAAACAATCTCACTGGTTGTGTGTGTATGTATATATATATATATATATATATATATATATATATATATATATATATACACATTTTTTTCTGGTTATCAAAAATATATCTAAAAAGAAAAAAACAATAATTAAATGTTACAAATTGGTCCATTATTAAATGCCTATAAATATAAAAATGAGTCTATTAAATAATATCTATTAATTTAAACAAAACAAGTTAATTAATTAAGACTTTTGTCCAGAGGTTTTGAACGAATCTCTTCAAAACATTTTAACAGTCAGTCACTACTGGAATAGCCAAACAGTAAATAAAGATCTACAATCTTTGTTTGAAGCCAAACTTTTGCTTAAAGGGTATTTACTTATTTTGATAATAATTTTGAAGGTTTAATAGACAGGGTTGTAGCTGTCATTTAGGAATAATATTGTGTTTGAATCAAGATCGCCATTATTTAATGATAAATCGTGCACACGGAGCTGTAGCCAATGTGTTTTCGAATTTAATATTTGTATGTTAACGAACGTTACCAGTAGGCTAACCCGCGCCCAAGGCCTGGCCGCCCCCCTTTCCCGCGATCCATTTATAGATATTAGAGAATAGAATATATGGGAATTTGTAAATATGCAAAGAAAAAAAATTTAATCCGAAAACTCATAGCCTGCATATAATAAATGACAACTACATTTCGTTAATAAAGTAGGCCTACGAATTTATCCGTGGGGGAAAGCGCCGTCCGAATTGTCCTCTTATGGAGTGTTCAAACCGAACGCGAATAGAGCGTCAAATACGCCTCTATCGCGTCTAGTTAGACGCTTGAATCTGCTCGAGTTCAAATTTTTCAACTTGCTTGGAAGATGTTCGCGGCAAACGCGTCACCCAATTCGCGTCATTCGCGACGCCCGGCGCGAATGATGCGTCTATTCGTGTCTTCGTGCGTCTATTCGTGCATTGACTTTGTAATCTACTCGCGCAAATGATTAAATTCGCGTTCGGTGTGAACAAACCATTAATGCATACGTGCCAACGTCATGGTCATATATTTCGAAAAACACAATAAATACTCTGACTACTATAAACACTTGACACTTGATAGCCTATTCGATGGAAGCACACTCGCTTATTAATTCAAATATACTCTCGTGCAAAGTCACTCATTTCATACATTAACTTGTAGACTACATAGGTGTTCGTAACACGTTTCTAATTGTTGATGCAAAATTCGTAGCAATTCTGAAATTCAGTTTAAAAGTTAGTTTCTTGACCAAAAATGCAATAAACGATTGAAGTTAAAAAAAGTTAAGCTTACCTCTTTTCAGCGTCTTCACATATGTGCTTCACAAAATGGCTCCAATTTTTGGCTGGAAAGGCATCACGGGAAATTGCATATCACGTGGCTCGTATAGTTACTTAAAAAGTTATGCTCGATTTACTTAATTTTGAAGCAATTATTATAGTAGTTGACATGACTTATGTTTTTTCATTTTATTTATGCATACTATGCAGTTCATCTAGTTACTTATATTTTTGTGTTACACACACTAAATATGTTAAGTAGAGGTTGAAAAGTTATGAATACTTAATTTTTTGTGTTAAATCTAATAACTTTTATAAGTAATGGTTGTTCAGCCAACGAATCGTTTTTTAGAGTGTAGTAACAATATGAACTAAACAACAAATTTTAAACAATTATAAAAAGTAAAAATTAAAGTGAAAAATTAAAGTATATTTAGGCCTATAGGGTTCATAGTTATTTCATGTTAGTTCACAGTGTATTAATTAATGTTAACAACCACAACTTTTTATTTTTAATAATGTATTAATACAAGTACAAATTAACATTAATTTAGATTAATAAATGCAGTAGAAGTCTTGTAGTAGGCTAGTTAACTAATGTTATTGTAAAGTCAAACGTTAGTGATGTAGCTCATGTGACAACTAGCCCCGGTCTCGACTACAAACACGATTTTTTGAACAACATTACAGTTTTAACGTGCATGTTGTAGCTGTTGGTCCAAAAACAGCTCGAGCCAGAGTGAATTGCGACATCGTGACACGTGCATCGAGAGTCATTCCGATATCACGCATAACGACCGTGCCAATAGCCTACCTCACATACCGTCACGAGAAAAAAACAACCGTGACAGCGCTATGTCAGGCTTTTGCTACGTAGAAAGTACGTTTATGAAACAAAACTGCTATTTAAATGCATTTTAATAGCTAATCTCAACACTGTTAAACAGCAGCGTAAAACGTTTTCCGAGTAGGATTTACCTGCTACCGGCGAAGGTTTCCGAAGAATCACCCATCTGTTTTTCCACTGTAAACGCAGGGAAACAAAACAACAAACAAAGTAGTGTTCGTTAAGACAAACAAACAAAGATTTAAGTTGTCCAACAATAATAAACGATACCGTAAACGTAGTTTGCGTTGCTTTTAACCACCTTTTTCCCCTCTCGGAGTCTGACTTGTCCCTCTACGACAACCGTATCCGTCATCTTGTGTCATGGTTCCCGACAGCTGTGTGCGGTCCGCGGCAGTGAGTGAGGGGGTCACTTTCAAAATAACCTCCAGAACTGTCTGCAACACGCACAAACTCTCTCACCCACATAACTCTGACATGCATTGACCCACCCTCTAAACAGAGACCTACACTACAAGGCAAAGGTTTTTACAGTTGTTCGTTGGGTCAAGGTGCCAATTTAATTTACAACACCTGGCCAAGAGATGCAAGCATTCTTGCAAGTCTCAGACATGTCAAGCATGTGGTTTAAGAGACATGTAAACAAACATGGCAGTATGTGAACTTCTCATTATTAGATAATAATCTGCATTCTGCAATTATAAAAGTAGAAATGTTTAACCACATAAATAAATGAAACTGCGGGATAAGTAGGAACCCTTCTATGGGATGTAGCACTCAGAAGGGCCAGCTGGGCTGGTCTCAGAGTAACTGAGGAATACAGTTAACACTGAAGTGAGTTGGGGCAGCAGCATTTTGAATCTCAAATAAGTCCTAAAGGCACAATTTAGACATCATTATAATATCCCTGCAAAGACAAAAGGCCTTTCTTGTGTGTGTGTGTGTGTGTGTGTGTGTGTGTGTGTGTGTGTGTGTGTGTGTGTGTGTGTGATTCAGAATGCATTTATGCCTACTTGAAATAACCTGATGTTATTCATGAAATTACATTATATATAATTATATATAATTTTCTTAACATGCTTTCTTTCCAAAGTGATCACAAAGTGCATGCATCACACAAATGGGAATTACCAAAAATAGGCAGCTAAAAGCTGCAGTATTTTAGGGCCCTGATCAATTATGTAAATTTGTGATAAAACCATTAGTGTATAAATGTCAGATGTTCCTGCTTCTTTGAAGCAACAGATGCTCTTTGGAGCTGGGTGACATGGATCATCATGGCTCATTTGAACTTGACTAAAAAAAAAAAATGTGTTAAACTAGAAAAATGCTAAATAGAAGTTTTACTTCAGGACCTCACTTTATTTCAATATTTTTTGCTTTATGTAAGGTGAGTGTAATAGGAGTAGATAACTCTAAATGATGTGTTCCTGTGTTCCAAAGATGTGGCGTTTTATCGAAAAATCAGCTGTTTCGACAGCTTTTGGGAGTTTGTTCCACCAGTGGAGAGATCAACAAATGGAGAAATGTCTGGACCTAGACAAGCAGTAACCTTTTATATGGAGATTTGAGGGAGTTAGGCGAACAGAACGGCCTGACAGTAGGCCTAATGGCTGGGCTGGGGTGAAGTTTAGATGAAGGATTGAAGATAGTGGGCGTCAGGCCATTGGCAGTAGTGTAAAAGTCAGAAATGGCGTCGTATTGGCAGGCAGCAGAGGCGTAACATGAGAGAATTCCAGAGGTTAAAGACAAGTCAAGCTGAAGCATTTAGAATGCACTCCAGAGGACAAATAGCAGATGCTAGACGGAGTGAAGGTGTAAAATGTCTACAGTCCGGGTATAAGGAGCTGAGAAAACTAGTGGTTGAGGAAGTCTTATTGTCCTTTGTGGAGCGTGAAGCAGCAGTTGAACACACGGATGCCAAGCATTTTACACCCCTAGAATATATTGTGCTAAACAACACTGCTAAATGCATTTTGTATATTGGTAGCTCTTTACAAAAACGTTCCATTCGTTCATATTAGTAAATGCATTAGCTATCATTGAAGTAACAATGAACAAACATTTTACACCATTTATTAATCTAAGTAAATGTCAATTTACACTCATGCAACAGTTTTTCTGCAGGTTACATGATACTCCAGCATGTGGTGACATGTGATTTTCTGTATTAGTTATTTATCAGATCATTCACACAACTGATTAGTTCAAATAAAACACACCATTTAGGTGATAAATAAATGACTGGCTGCTTTCAAAGTTGCATACTCTCTGATTATACCTCTTTTGAATAAGTAATTGCTTTGCAACTGTTAAAAAGAATGTTCTAGTATGAATGTGTGTAGAATGAAATCCAGTCTACTTTTGCCATGTTATAATTGTGACTTATGGCATCAGTTGCATTGGTTCAATTGTTCATATCTACTCTTCCATGTTGTCAAGGTAGCCTAAATTTTTCATTAAATGCGCACTACTGAATCTCGCTGGAAGTTATATGTCATCCGGTTACTTTTGACTTAGGCTATACTGTTTTATGAGTATATGAATTCAGACAATCTGCATTTTCACATAGTGTTTTAGTAGGGAAGTAGGCATATTCGGACATAGAAAATGTCTTTATGATTGAGTCATTGAATCATTTACACAACTTATTTGTTCAAACACACAGGACATTCGGGAACGCCACTGCAATATATTTCTCTGACACACAGCAGTAAGTTCTACATTGGCAGTGCAAATAGACTAATCTTTTAATGAGATTATGATTTCATGAGAAAATGTAACAATTTTAAGTGGTGGCAATTTTGTATGAATTAATATGATGTGATTTTCAGGAAAAAAGCATGAAGGCCCAGCCTAAATCTAACCTTCAGTGGGGTGTTCAGATTGCATTAAAATGCATGAATGAGAAGTGAATTCATTTAAATTAGCCATCAATTTGCCAAAAGATAAAATAGTTTGAAAAAAAATACCATGAGAGTGTGTTCCAATTACATTACGGGGCAGGCACCCATGGGGAAACTTGGGTTTCATTAGATTTTGCTCAAGGAGACAGTGCCACAACCAATGCCAGTCAGAAGTTGCCACTCAGAACTTTTTTTTCTTTTTTATAACCAGTATAGCCAATTGGACTACTTTTAACTTGTTGCCGCGGGTAAAACAGTTTTTCTTCTGCGGGTTTTCACTGTTTTCCAGCTGTATTTACACTGTTTTATATCATTGCTTTTGTTGTTAGGTTTAGTAACTTGCCGTTTTGTGACATCTCTGGTTAATTTTATATCAAAAACAATCCATGTTACCGTCATTGTGTATTGTGTACCAAGCATTGAGGTCTGTTTGGGTAGGTATCGCATTATGTAGATATGGTGTCTACTCAATGTCTATTGTATTACTTAGATAATAAGCATACACTTAAAAAGTGTGGGTTATATTAGTGTTGAATTATTGAGTAATAAGTATAGCAAAGTAAACTTAAACTATGTAGAAATTACTCAGCAAACTTTTACTGGCCAACTTAAAGTTACTTATTTTCATCATTAATTTTACTTGAATTTTGTGTTTTTAAGTAGAGTTTACTTAATTTCATATGTGAAATTTACTTCTGCATGCAAAAACTTGCTTAAGAAAAATTTTCCTTTTTTTTTTTTTTTTTGTGCGTAAGTACACGATTTTGGTGCTCCAAAACACCCCCCAGACATGGAAAAATTCAGTGGAGAATATTTCAGTGCGTAAGTATACGATTTTGGCGCTCCAAAACACCCCCCAGACATGGAAAAATTCAGTGGAGAATTCGGCCTCAGATGGAGAAAATCGCATTGGGCTATTTTTGACTGGCCATCGGGCTACTTTAGTTGCACAGACCTGTTCATAACGGTTTCAGGAATGACGTTTAAATTTCTCAATGCTCACTGATAGCCTTCTGATGAGGGCAACAAACATTAAGAAATTCAAATCATTGACCAGGGACCAAAAATAGTTCATATTTATTGAAGACAGCTGCTGTGTCAGAGTAGATGCATTATATGTGGTTTAGCAAATGAAAACACTGCATGTCCTTAAAATACCTGCAGCATTTTGTATTGATCTGTCTTTCCCTTTCAGTCTCTCCTTCCTCCTCGCAATTATCCCTGAAATACGTCTTGGCATAAAGCAGTGCATTCACATCCTCGGGTCAATGAGACTTGTCTAGTGCTGAACATTAAACCATGTTCAGCATTAAACCATTAAAATTCCATGAGTAAACTTTAGAGATAAAAGACAACGCTACCTTGTCCATTGGGACAATAAGACTCCAGTAGAACGTGGAGGAGACATCAAGCAACAAACACACATTAATACAATTAAAGTATGAGACCTGATTTTTGGGTGTTACTACATTTATTAAGTGCTGCCACATTAGACCTGACATAACGTCGCTGTCGGGCGGAATCCTCGTATCTCCAAAACCATTATTTTTCAGGAAATAAAAAAAACTGCATATTTTTTTAGTTATTAAACATTGTATCGTTAAAGTTGGTATTATACATTATATTGCAATTATATACTGTTGTGTACCAACATTAACACAACATTTCCCCAAAATCATGTTTAATCGGAGATACGAGGTTTATGACTTGGGAGCAGGGAGATACGAGTTTACGCTGTCATTGATAAGAATGGAACGGACGCAGACTTCGCTGCTGCCAGCATTGTTCATTAAAGTCCGCGGTCGCGTTGAGCCTTTTGACGAGACAAGGCTTTAAGAGCTAATCAAAGCTTATGGTTGTGGTTACATATATCTTCCTAAACTCTATTTTAAAAGTTTATGAGCTATAAGTGATGCAATACAACAACAAAAAAAACGAGCTGACTAGGCTGTCTAATAGGCGGAAATTAGCCTAATCTGCACGCAAACTTACCTTTGTGGCTCACGGGCTTCCTTCTGCTTTCGATTACAGCTTTCGATCTTTAACAAAACAGGCCTACTCAAATGTATCTAACCTAACTATTTTCACTCGTTATTACCTAAAAAACAGACAGAGTTATCCAAAGATAGGCTTACTCGACGCCAGTAGACAGCCGTTTTTTTCTCCCATAAAAACACTAATTGGGGTATTTTACATGCACAGTGCCAAGAGAGGGAACTTTGAGTCAGTAAAATAATAATAAAAACAATAATTTAATGGTGGTATCCAAAACATTCAATTCAAGTATTATATTATATACATTTTAAAACTTCAATGCACATTTATAATAAGCCTAGTAATAAGTAGACATTTAAAATACATCAATAACTAATATCATAGTTTAACAATAAAAAAAATATAATATTAATATAAAATAATATGTATAATATAATAAAATCACAGTTAAGGCTTGTGTATTTGTGTTTGTGAGTATGGTTAGCCCTTGTCTGTGTGCATGTATCTGTGAGGCTCTGTGTGTGTTGTTACATTGCCATCATATTTTACTGCCATACCAGTACCATTAAAGGAGAACTCCGGCG